GTACCTCTACAACAGCCCCACGTACCCCTACACCTGCCCCACGTACCTCTACCACAGCCCCAAGTACCCCTACACCTGCCCCAGTTACCTCTACAACAGCCCCACCTACCCCTACTTCTGCCCCAGGTACCTCTACACCTGCCCCAGGTACCTCTACCACAGCCCCACGTACCCCTACACCTGCCCCAGTTACCACTACAACAGCCCCAGGTACCCCTACACCTGCCCCACGTATCTCTACAACAGCCCCAGGTACCTCTACACCTGCCCCAGGTACCTCTACAACAACACCAGGTACCCCTACGCCTGGCCCACATACCTCTACAACAGCCCCAGGTACCCTTACACCTGCCCCAGGTACCTCTACAACAGCTCCACGTACCTCTACAAGAGCCCCAGGTACACCTGGCTCCCATACTTCTACACCTGGGAAAACAACTCTCTCGACCCCCAGTCCAATGCCAGTTTCGACAACAGCTTCAACCACAAGCTCCGTGTCGACCAAAGCCCTGGGCTCCTCGGAGGTGCCAGGTAAGCCCACCTCACCTGAGCCCACCAACATCTGTTTACAACAGTCATGCAACTGGACTCAGTGGATCGATGGCAGCTACCCCGGGCCTGGGAGGAACAGTGGCGATTTTGACACTCTTCAAAATTTGAGATCAAAAGGATACAAATTCTGTGAAAAGCCCAGCAATGTGCAGTGCAGGGCAGAGAGCTTCCCGGACATCCCGCTGGAGGAGCTGGGGCAGGACGTGATCTGTAACACAGAAGTGGGGCTGCTGTGTCTGAACAAGGACCAGCTGCCCCCGATCTGCTACAACTATGAAATCCGGATCGAGTGCTGTGAGACAGTGGACGTGTGCAGAGGAAGGACGACCCCCCCGGCGACACCAGAGACCACACACTCGACCCCACACTCAACCGGGGCCACAACCCAAGGCTCCGGGACCACAGCAATCCCCTCCATCTCCACAAAACACACCAGGGCCAGCTCAGCACCGGGGCTGCCAACAACAGAGGTCGCAGCCAGCACACCCACGGTCACCACACCAGAAACCACCGCGTGCAGGCCACAGTGCAAGTGGACCAAGTGGTTCGACGTGGAACTCCCGTCCCCCGGGCCCCAGGGTGGAGAGAATGAAACCTACAGCAATATCCTCAGAAGTGGAGAGAGAATCTGCCACCGGCCCGAGTACATCACCCACCTGGAGTGCCGCGCCGAGAGCCGACCTGAAGTCAGCATCGACCAGCTGGGCCAGGTGGTGCAGTGTGACCCCGACGTGGGCCTGGTGTGCCGGAACCAGGACCAGGAGGGCCTGGACGGGGTGTGCCTCAACTACGAGATCCGTGTGCTGTGCTGTGAGCCCCGAGAAGACTGCACAACCCAGACACCTGTCACACATCCCAGCACCTCAAGTGTGAGCATTCATAGCCACGAGACCACCTCCCACGTGGCCACGTCCAGGGCAACCACTCTGCCAGAAACCAGCCCGACCTCTGTGCAGGAAACCAGCAAAACCTCTGTGCCGAGAATGAGCACAACCACGGTGCCAGGAACCAGCCTCACCTCTGTGCCAGGAACCAGCCTGACCTCTGTGCACGAAACCAGCAGAACCTCTGTGCCAAGACTGAGCACAACCACAGTGCCTGGAACCAGCCCAACATCAGGGGCAAAAACCAGCAGGACCTCTGTACCAAGAACCAGCCTAACGTCTGTGCCAGGAACTAGCCAAACCTCTGAGCTGAGAACCAGCACACCCTCTGCCCCGGAAACAAGCCCAATCTATGTGCCGAGAACCAGCCCAACCTCTGTGCAGGAATCCAGCAGAACCTCTGTGCCAAGACTGAGCACAACCACGGTGCCTGGAACCAGCCCAAGCTCAGTACCAGGGAGCAGCCCAACCTCTGAGGTGAGAACCAGGACCACCTCTGTGCCAGAAACGAGCCCAACATCTGTGCATGAAATCAGCAGGACCTCTGTGCCAGGCACCAGCCCAACCTCTGTGCACGAAACCAGCAGGACCTCTGTGCCGAGACACAAAACAACCACGGTGCCTGCAACCAGCCCAACCTCTGTTCAGGAAACCAGCTCAACTGCTGTGCACAGACCTGGCACAACCTCAGCTCCTATAATCAGCACCACTTCGGTTCCTGCCCCTGAGATAACCCACAGCCCACCCATGACCAACAAATGCCGCCCAAGGTGCAACTGGACCAAGTGGTTTGATGTGGAACTCCCATCCCCTGGGCCCCAGGGTGGAGAGAATGAAACCTATAGCAATATCCTCAGAAGTGGAGAGAGACTCTGCCACCGGCCTGAGTACATCACCCACCTGGAGTGCCGCGCCGAGAGCCGCCCTGAGGTCAGCATCGACCAGCTGGGCCAAGTGGTGCAGTGTGACCCTGACGTGGGCCTGGTGTGCCGGAACCAGGACCAGGAGGGCCCGGACAGGGAGTGCCTCAACTACGAGATCCGTGTGCTGTGCTGTGAGCCCCGAGAAGACTGCACGACCCAGACACCTGTCACACATCCCAGCACCTCGAGCGTGAGCATCCACAGCCATGAGACCACCTCCCACGTGGCCATGTCCAGGACAACCACTCTTCCAGAAACCAGCCCGACCTCTGTGCAAGGAACCAGCCCAACATCTGAGGAGACAACCAAGACCACTTCTGTTCCAGGTACCAGCCCGACCTCTGTGCAGGAAACCAGCAGGACCTCTGTGCCAAGACTGAGAACAACTACGGGGCCTGGAACAACCCCAACCTCTGTGCGAAAAACCTACAGAACCTCTACGCCAGGCATCAGCCCAACCTCTGTGCAGGAAACCAGCAGGACCTCTGTGCTGAGACTGAGAACCACCACAGTGCCTGCCCCAAGCCCAACCTCTGTGCAGGAAAC